TCCCTGCCCTTGGCCTCCCCAGTATGACTCACTCTTTCCTCCCTTCCTCCCTCCCTCCCTCTCTCTCTCTCTCTCTCTCTCTCTCTCTCTCTCTCTCTCTCTCTCTCTCTCTCAGCACACACCTGAGCCTCCCTCTCTCCAAGCACATATACCCCATACTATGTATCCAGACCAACAGCCATTGGGAGGAGACTCTGACATCAAATTCATCTTGTTCTGGGGCAAATGACCAGGCACTCCCCCTGAACAGCACACTCTGAAAGTCACTTGATGCCACCAGAACTTTCAGGATGTGAGTTTCCCTTTGAACGAAACCCCAGGTTGGCCACTTCAAATGTCCTTGAGCCAGGGACAGGCCAAAGGGGACAGCATGTGTAGGGGTCTGGGAGGCCACCTTGAGCATGCATAGAATCTGTGGCAGAAGGGAAAGCTACCTGTGAGTCTGTCTTTGAAGAAGAGAATCAGCTTCTCTTTCCTTAGAGCAGAAGGGTAGCAGTGGCAGAGAAACAAACAAAAGGAAAATCTTCTTGTACTAGGCAACTGTTGGCACCAAAGAAACGAAATACTGTCCTGAAGTCCCCAAAATGAAATGGCACTAAGATTGAGCTGCAGCGCCCTCTGGCCTCCACAAGTGGGATGGCAGGAGGCTGGTGGTGATGGGGCGTGATGCTGCTCTTCCTGGAAGAAAGTGCAAGGGAGGTGTGACCCCAGAAGTGAACAGGACACAACTCAAAATAGGCGCATGCCTTGTGTCCAGGCTTGCTGTTCGCCTTGCCTGTGGGATGCAGTGTCTATGTCTGCTTCCCTCTAAGCGTGTAGCTCAGCACAGGGTCACTGAGCTCCGAGCAGTTCTACATCTGCTCAGAGCTGTCCCCAGGCTGGTGCCTGCATTTCTCTGCACTGCCATCGCTTTCCATGGCAGGTCTGTCCCCATGGTGTGACTCTCCCAGCTCTCCTTGACCACCCTGCTTGGGAGGCAACAGTAAATGTGGGAGATCATGCCCAAGAAAATGAGAAACAGCAAAATACTCCCACAATGCCTGGTTCCTCAGTCCCTCCAGAAAGGCTCAGGGGCACAGCCTGCATCCCATGCAAGCCAAAGACTTCTCCTCCCTCATCCTGGAAGGACATGTTAGCCACCCCTTAGGGGGTTCTGGAAGTCGGAGATCAGAGCCCCTAAGCTTTTATTGTTCCTGCTGACTTCTCACCCTAATTGTCTGCTTAATTGGAGGGAATCTAGTTCATCGGTGAACATCTGGAAAGACTGCCAAGTAAGACACTTGCATTCCAAAAGATGCTTTATTTAGCTTGCCCTATTGTAAAGAAAGGCTGAGATTCATACAATAAACTAAGAAACTGATTTGTAAAATATCAGAAGAGAAATGGCAGTGTTTGGCTAACAGCTGCATGTGGGATTGTAGGCATTGGCACTATTTACCTGCAACATTCTCAACAGCCAGGAATCTGTGGATCTACAAAGGACCAGGCCCCCACCTCTCTTCACTGCCACCTCAGCTCACCTTATCATATGCTTGTACCAAGAGAAACTAAGTCAGGGTGCTCCAGGGTGCCCATTTCTGTGCCCTCGTTTCTTCTTTCATTGCAGGGTGCCTGAGCACACAGGGCCAGTGTTTGAGCGCGTTCTCCTGGCCTCACAGCCTAGTGCTCCGGGAATAGGCACTGGTGCTACGTGTCCTCCCCAGTGTGAAGGCTGCCACGGCCAGAACCAAGGCTAGGAAGACTCCCGCAGACACGGCAGTACTGTGATAGCTCCCCTGGGGGCTGCCCAACTTCTCCACTTCCATCATCTCCAGGTCTGGGAGAAGAGGACACGGAGAAAACAGTTGGGACTGGAACAGAACCCAGAGGAGAAGGGAAGGGGAGACACACAAGAGCTATTGTCCCCGTCAGATGAACTATTTGGTGAGAACATATTTTTAAAAATGGGAGAGGGAAGTGGCAAAGGGGAATCTGAGGTCATAGCCCAACAGGCAGCTAAGCATTGGGTGGGAGTTTTATTTCACCTTGTCTTGTTGACACAATTCAAAGAAAGGTTTTTGAGCAGGAACTCAGAGCTAGACTTTAGGAGAACAATTCTGGCTGGGGGTTGCAATGGTTGGGAGAGAGTGTTGGGGCCTTTGGGGACAGGATTAGATGATTCCCAGGGAAGAAGTTAGGCAAGGCCTAAACTACTGAAGTGGCCCCAGAGAGCACACACAGAGGAGAGAAGGCCACACTGGTTACTCCTTTTCCCTGTGCGTGGTCCTTCTCGCCACCGATCTGACGCTATCAGATATGGCAAACACTAGTTCTACTCCAACTGTACCTCATCTCACTAGAGTTTAAGCTCCTCAAGGACAGAGATTTTGATCTACATCTGTTTATTTGTTTCCTGCTGCACAATAGGCATTTGATAAATATTTGTTGAATGAATCACTAAGGAAAAAATTGAAAAGCAACTGGCCAAGGAGACATGTCTAATCCTAGGAAAGGATGAAGCTATAAAGATGCCTGATGCCCTGGTGAATGAGACGGTTTGTGGTCACTACTGCTAGCCCATCCCTGTCCCTGTAACTATGGTTGCCATGTCTGTAGACCTGGCCCCAAGCTGGGCCAGGGATCCTGTGAACCACCCTGAGAATCCTGGGAATATTCCCTCCTCTTCACACTCATCCACACACACATCCTGATGGCCAGCCTGACCCTGATGTCCCTATGCCTGGGGTTATCACTTGGTGTCATTATGATGAGGAATCATAGTATCATTAACATTGCTATCATTAACATTGTTAATATGAGTGACAATGCCAATAGTAACAAGCTACTGTGCATGAAGTATCTAATGACGTACACCAGTCAAGGTGAAGGCAGTTGAATTAACATCGCTTTATTTAACCCTCTCAACAGTCATAAGAGGTAAGCATCAGTATTTGCATTTGAAGCAGGAGCATAGGTTCCAGGAGTTCAGAACCCAGAAAATAAAGCATCAGGTCTATATGCCTTGTGGATCAAACTCTCTGCCCAGGCATAGTACAGTGTGCCTGGCACATTTGGGTTGTAACGTGACACCAACTGCGTCTTAATTCAACGAGTGTCATGGGCCAGGGCTTCAGTGGGCAGTGGGGTCATCCGAGACTGGCCACCTACCCGGGCTCTTCTTGGCTTCAGGTGGGACTTGCTGCTGGATGGGCCCCAGGACGACCTCCACTTTCTCCTGGTAGGAGCCCACGTCTCTCTTGGACCTCACAACACAGCCTCTGTAGCACCGGGAAGAATAGTCGTAGGCTCTGCACACCACCAGTTTACACTGCAGGTACACTGAGGGGAAGCGGTTCAGGAAGTGGAAGGACTTGAACTTCAAGCGGACCACATGGGGAGAGGGTTGGGAGTAGACTTGGAAGGTTTCATCCCTTACGCACCTGGAAGAAAAGAACAGTAACGTTAGTTCTCCCTGAGGTGTTCATTTGTCGTGACTCAATTGCACCAGGCGCACGCCAGCTTGCTGCTTTTCTGAAGACCATGTGGATCACACACTCACTGCCAGGGATGTGGACGAACCCCAGCAGTTCTGGTGCATCACCAGATTCCCCCAATAAGTCCCGCTGGGGTTTTCCAGGCAGACAAACAGGCCTCATGCAGCACAGAGGGTTAGGATTCAGGTAAGGATGTATGCTCGGTGGCCCCAAGGAAGCCAGGTGAATTGGAGAAGTGTCTCAAGTCTGCAGCCCAGGAGCAGGCCAAAGACATAGGAGGAAAGAAGAGAATGTCACTCCCTTTCCTGGTTGCAGGGCCAGGCAAAGTGATATCTGGGTACATGTTGGGCAATTTTTGCCTGGCCTGCTTGGCTTTCTGCCCCCCAGTCCCTCTCGCCAGAGCCACTGGGCCTCTCCAGAGCCCTGTGCAGCTGTGTTTTCCACAGTGTCCTGAGGGCCATGTGGGCCTCCTACTCCGGTATCCAAGCACTTCCTCATTCTCTTGGTGGAATTCCTTCCTCATTCCCTAGTCCCAGCTGGTAGTGGAAGGAAAAGAATTTAAGGATCTGCTTAAGGGACTTTACTTCTTTTTTTTGTGTGTGGGGGAATTTACTTCTTATGAATGAGGGTACACTGTCCCATGATAAACCATGTGCAGCTAGAATGGTGGGGCTTTGAGTGACAGGACAGGAGAAGGGGAAGGACCTGCTGGGGACCTTAAGGCAGGGATTTCTCTGGGGTGAGTGGCTGTGGTCCCAAGACAGCCTGGCTGTCCCAAAACTTGGTCTTAGTCTACTTACCCTCCCTGCTCACTTACTTCCTGCCTCTATTTTCACCTCAGCTGTCCTCAAACACTCAGATTTCTTTGTGTTTTTCCCACAGCAGCCTCCTTAGTGGCCAAGGTATGAGAGGAAACCCCAGAGGCTCCTCCAATGACAGGGCACTTGTGAAACAGCCCAGGGAGCCCTGGAACCATGCCAGCACCTTTAAGTGGCCCCCTCACTGGACTTCTCTGATTCATGCAGTCAGTTCTCCCTCCTCCCAGAAAACTGCATCAGCATGTAGGTGGCAGAATGTCACCTGTAGACAAGACTCTTAGCAGGACATTAATCTGCTCACTCATTTGCATTCATTTTGCTCATTGTGTATCCACTCAAATGCCAACTTGCTGCTATATGGGGAGAGAGGATCTGGGGAGGCTTTCTCTCCATCTTTGTTGCTGGGGCAGCTGCTAGTTGAACCAACTGCGTAGATTAGACAAGATGAGCCTTACTACTGTTTATGGAACTGACACGTATTCAAACTGTGCCTAGAAAGTTGCTGCTTTTAGCATCTTGGGAGGTATGAAATGTGATCCTCACCCTTCATTCCTCGCAGCACTCCTTACCTTGTCAGTATAATTTCTCTCAGGAGACGATGGCTATTAAGACACTAAAGGCCATATGGCAAGTCAAGAAGTGCAATGACATCACCATCAGAGAATACACAGTGGGGCTTAGACTCGGAACCCTGGCTCCTCAGCGCTCTCAGGGAAAGCAGGAGTGTCTCACCCGCCTCTGCAGAGTGCCTCATCCTGGAAACTGGAGCAGGGGACAGCAGGCAGTCTGGGTATGTCTCACCCGCCTCTGCACCACCTGAGAGGAACTGGAGAACTTCTCAGGCCCATGGAAGTCAAAAGAGCTCCACCTGCTGGATGAGCTTAGGGTCCAGCCACGCTTTTTCTTGTAATATGAAAGAAAGACTGATAGTGTGGGTATCACTATCACAACTGACAGGTCAGGAAACCGGCCCAAACAAGTATGGGCTTCCACCTTGCTCTGCTCCCAGACAAATGCTTTCCCCATTACATACAGGTAGCTCTAACTGAAGGATAGAAGTTGCCCGCCTAGGGTCTAATCCCAGTTTCCAGCCAACCTATTAAATGGCCACTGGTGAGTCATTCCATTCTTCCCACCAGTTAATGGGAGATGACGAAAATGCTGCTTCTCTAGTCAGTGATGTCCTCCAGGACACCGCAAGAAAGGGTCTCAATAGGATAGTACTCTGCCTAGAAAAGGGTCTAGCTGAGCTTCAGCTCCTTCAGTTATTAACTGAAGTGTGCACTCTCATGGGCTACTTGTGTTTGGATTAGCAGGCAAAGGTTTACACCCACCCCGTAAGCAGTCCTTACCCTCTCCGGATGAGATCATAGGTCAATGATGTGAAGTCATTGGGATATGGTGAAGCCACACAAGTGTCCACAAATAAGGCCAGCGAGGCATCAGAATGGAGGATTTGAGCCTGAAGATACAGATTCTGATCCAGGTCCACGTAGTACGGGTTGTGGGTCACAGGATATAAGAAGGAAGGAGATGTGTAGAAAGAAATGTTCACATTGAAATTGCCATACTGGACTTCCTGGACCTCTGTGGTGTCGTTAGTAATGTACATGGTGTTGACCCAGGTGTTCTGGAGCATCTTGCAGGTGACGTGAATGTTGAGGTCTTTTTTCCTTTTGATGATGCCATTTGAAACAGCTGCTCTGAGTAAGTTGGAATAGCTGATGGTGTCATTATCAACCTAGGAGGAGCAGGCAAGAGAGCAGAGTGAGGCAAGTGGCATCAGGTAAGAGAATTTCACCATTGACTTGATCTGTAATAAGCAGAAAGGAAACAACTCCACAGATGTTTCTGTGTGGGGGAGAGAAACATCTCACACACAGAGATGGGCTATGCCTATGCTCCTGTGGCTACTGTAATCTGGTCTGGATGTCCAGCTCAACTAGTAAGACTTCCTCCTCCACTTCTTTTGCCACATGATGACCATGGTGCAGGTCAGTTGTCGCTCTTCCTCACTGGCAAGATTGGTGCATCCGGATGGACTCCTGACCTGCCATGACTTTGGGCTCCATGTTTCGAGGCTTAGAGCAGAACATTCTGCATCGTTCTCACTGTTGCTGGGGGTCAGAGAGGAGGAAATCACATACTCATCAGAAGTGGGTCTAGCAAGCTCAGTGTTAATTACTTTGTGTTTTGTTTCACTGGTAATTGCTGCAGCTTGGTGGTGGACACTGTGGGAGCTAGAAGCCCTAGAGGTCTAGAGTTACAGTAGCAGAAGGTGTTGAGCTCTGGGGTTGGGGCAGCTGTGTGGGTCATGGCACCTTGGACCCAGTCCTAGCCCCCAGGACCATTTGCTACTATGCCTTTCACTAGCCAGCAAATTCTTAAGAATCTTGGTCCCTCATGGCTTTTCCTTTGCGTATCATCTCTTGAAAGTGACTTTTCCAAGGATGAGATCTCTATACCTGGGAGCTGTGGCCATCTTGCAGGAAAGATGGCACCTAAACATTCTTCCTTGAAGGCCTGACATAGCATTACCAATAGCATTGGTAGCTTCGGTAGGTATTAGTGGGAGGAATGAAAGGAGCAGGGCCAGCAGCCCTATGGATGTGCTAAGATGCATGGAGGACAAGACAGGGAGCTGCCAGTCCAAGTGGCCGAGAGAACGTGGGGAACGAGGCCTCCTGGGAGATTCCTGATGGTGACCAGCAGCTCTGGTGGTGAGCATGAGAGTGTCACCGCCCTTCTGGGGACCGTGGGATTCCTCCTCCTCCCAAGTGCTGTGATGGTCAGAAACAAACCTGTCCCAGATCCACGTGCTTTGAACCCCCATAAGTATTTTCACAAGAAGATAACACCATCAGTGACCCAAATAGAAGTCCTAAGATGTAAGTCAGCCTTAATATTTGAATGAAAAAAAGGAAAAGAAAACTTCCCGTTTTAGTCAGGTACAGAGTCAAAAGCAAAATATTGCCGGCTGGTTAGGACACTGGACAAGGTTGCTTCTGAAGCAATGATGGCTATTAGTGGACTGCTGCCAGGAGCTAAACTCATCACAAACCAGGACCCAAGATGATGAGTTTACAGGATGAAATAGAAAAGCCAGGTAGAACAAGCCACATGCATGGCATGACGGGTGTGCACTCTTCCGTGCAAGCATCTACCTCGCCCACCAAGCGCCTCTCCAAAGGAGACCTCTTATATAGAGGATCTGATTAAGGGATCTGGGTGACCATGTGGCTACTGTAGTTCCTCAGACACAGGCACTCACAGCCAGCGGGTCCATCCAGTTGGTGAGATGAGTGTCCCCTTCCTCTCTGTTTCTTGTGGGTCAAAAGAGCAGGAACAAGTTTGCCAGGTTATTGCTGGTGGGGGCGGTAGCCTAATGAGTGGGTTTTCTATAAGCCACAGAAATTGCTCCCTGAGCCTCCTTCTGTCCTTCGACACCCTCCTGTCCAGAAGTAGCTGTAGCTATGTCATGATCCTAAAGATTTCTGTCTTTCCTTGCTCTGACTATGTCCTGATTCCACCTAAATCATAACATTAGGATTCCAGGATCATGTATCTGTGTTTCGCTGCAAAAAAGCATGCTCAAGAGGAAGTAGAAAGAGCCGTTCTAGGCTCACCTGCCTGATGGTGCCACAGCCCACGTAGGGAATTGTGAATATCACGTGAGTCCACGTTATCTGGGGCAGACAAGGATAGCTCCTGTTCCAGCCAGAAATGACAAGATCGCTGGACAAATAGCCCAGGGAATGGAGGTAGGCCTTGCTCACGCTGGCTTGCATGTGATTCGGCAGACAAATGAGATCTGAGGAAAAGGGAAGATCATACAGTTGGTCAGTATCTCCACGCCCCACAAGTCCCACCCAGTACTTCTTCCATAAAAAGGAGTGCCAATAAAGACAGCTGACATGCACAGTTAGCATGGAGGGAGTACGCATGGAATATATCTCATTGCAACCTCCAACCGCCTTTAACCACAAATCAGCCCCATCCTCACGAAAGCCCAAAGAGGCATTGGAGTTAGGATGTCCCTGGCGGACAACATGAAACAAAATTTTTAAATAAGTGAAATGTTGTGCTGTATTACCATTTATTCAAAAGATAAAGTAACCCTACAGTCAAATTTATGTTATGAAGTAAGGTCACTTAGTGATGAAGAAAGTCAATGCTTCAAAGCCTGACTGCTTAAAGGTCTTGGACATCATCTTGCCCAAGGCAAATATCAGTCCATACGGCAACTCAGATTGCAGCCACATGGCCTGGTCTGGAAGAGGCTGTGACCAGCTCTGTGGATCTTCAGATAGAAGTCTAGGATGTTAGGTCTTAGGATGTAGCCAGTGCCCCATCGTCAACAAAGGCCACAAAGCTTCAAGCCAGGTGGTCATTTCTGCCTTTGGCACTGACTTTTTGCTATCTGCTTAAAGTATATTCTTGCACCGTCTACCTCCTCTTTGCTGACTACAATAAGACTAATACACATCAATCATCCAGTGCTGGCCCTTGACCTCACATCCAGAAGTTGGTGTCCCAAGACCCAGTGTCCAAGGCCTGGCTAGGCCAGATGTCAAGCCCGGGGGCCCTGACCAGGTGATCTAAGTTTGCATTTCACAACCACAGGACAGTTGAGCAGCAGAAGGCTCTTAGTGATGTCCCCATTGTGAGCCAAGCATCCTCACAGGAAACTTACTAGTGCTATCATTAGCAAAGGTGGAGTAGTACTCAGCCTGGAACCCTCTCTGTGTGATACTCTGATCACTGGTGAAGCGAACTGACATGAAGTTCGATGTTGAAGTGAAGGAGCCCCTGTACCCGTTGCAGATCTTAGCAATGAGAGGGGAGCTGTGGTGGGGGCCATCGAAAACCTCAATGTAGTCATAGTTGCAGCCATTTTCCAGCCTGCAGAGATAGATCACGTAGTGTTAGTTCTGTCCAGAGTTTGATACAGGGGGCAAATCTCACAGAGGAAGTCAGACTTTTATCCTCCAAACTCTGGAAAGAGCTCATCATTGAAAAGAGTAGATTTCCTTAAAGCAAGAGGGATTTGTTTTCCCATGAGCACCTGTATCCTCATCCAGCCTTTGGAGTCAGGCATATGAAATCTATAGACCTCTCCTAAAAACCCTTTGAATTATAAAAGGAAGGGTGCATATTCTAGACCATTTTTCTTTCATTAAAGTCTCCTAGAGACTGACATACATATCCATGAGTTCCCAGTGATATAAAAATATAATTGAAGAAATAAATATGAAATGAGTCAAATAACCTTCTGAAATTCAAATTTCTTATGTACAAAGGTGAAATAATCCTGCCCATGCATATTGAAAAAAGCCTTCTAAGGAGAGTCACATGGAGAGAAAATATTCTCTCAGGCTCTCACAGAGAGCAAATTGGTCAAGCAATGGCCATGACTCATCCACATGGCTGACACTGGCAAAGGATCTACAAACTGTGGTACAGGGTTTCCTGAGGACAAATCCTGAGGGGATTTGACTGACCTTGTCAGATACAAGAGAGAGAGAGAGAACTATTTTGTTCAGGGATAGTTGTTAGAGAAGAATGTTTGGTACCCTCTTGTCCAGGACTCTAGAAAATTCTGGCACCTTTCCATAATCAGCCTGCTACCCCCTCCTAGGATACCTATATATTAATGCATTTTTGGTTTTAACAAAAAATGTAAATTTCTTGTTACATAGGTCTTGCTTTATTTTGTTCTTAACCATCAAGCAGAGAAGTGTAAAAACAAAGTATGCAAAGTAAAGCCATATTAATATGCTGAGCTGTAGAAGGCTCAAGTCAACAACTTCTGACATTGCCAGTCCTACAGATAACCCACTACTATTATGGACTACTGGACTATATTGAATTATTGTCCTCAATTCACGCACCTATAATATTTAAATGACAATGGAATACCTTTCTCTGACAAAACTAAACAAAAAAAGGGATAGAAATGAAGGACCATTTTGTATCTGTATATTCAAAATAGGATAGATATACAGCAACATTCTCTTAATTCAATGAATAGAAAAATTTGTTCTAATAGTGTTTGTAAACAGGATATCATGTCTGCATCTTGTACAATGAATAACCACTAAGACAACAATATGTAATGTATTAGTTATTGAAACTGTCCTACTAATCGGTTTTGAAACTGTCTCATTGCTATTTGTTTCTAAATATAGTTATTTTAAAAATGAAGAAGGCCTTTGTGAGCTCCAATAAAATAGCAAATGCTGCATATAATGTTAAGAGTGGTCGCTGTCATTGGTATGCTGGCCAAACAATAGCCAGGCACAGCCCAGTCCCTGAGAACTCGGGAGTTTTGAGTATAGTGCAGTGACAAGGAGATTCAGATCATGTATCTCTTGTAACACTCCAACTGAATTATTAAGGCAGAGACACCAAGATTTCTGCAAACAGAAATCTAGAGAGAGAACTACTTTGTTCAGGGATAGTTGTTAGAGAAGAATGTTTGGTACCTCCTTGTCCAGGACTCTAAAAAATTCTGGCACCTTCCCATAGTCAGCCTGCTACCCCCTCCTAGGATACCTCTTATATTAATGCATTTTTGGTGATGTCTTCTCTGTCTAAAATAATGGATTTCCACTTGTAATTGGAGGAGGAACAGAGAGCCTAACATCTGTGGCAGCAGCAAAATTCCCTCTCTTCCCAATTCCAGGAACCCATGAGAGAGAGGGAAGAGTAGTAAGAAAAGAGTTCAACAAAATTGCTGTGGGTAATAAGATTATTGCTCCCTAAAGATCATCCTTGCTCCTAATGACAGCCCCTCCCTCTCACTGGGTAGCATTTTCCAAGTATTGTGACGTATTCTAATGATCTTCTCAATGATCAGTGAGGTGAGGAGAACAGATATTTCATTCCCCTCTTTTGACTGAGGCTCAGGGAAGATACAAGACTACCTGTGGTGCATTGGTAGGATCTGTCAGCACTCCCCATAGGCTAGTGCTAGGCTAAGTCCAAAATTAAACCCATAATAAAAAATGCCACCTGAACACACATCTCCCCTGAATTTCTAAGTACCCTGTCCTCTCTTTCTAAACATCCATGGGATTCCTTGTGCATTCTGCTTTGTGTCCACATACTCACTGGACATCTGTGAAGATGACAGTCACAAGGTAGTTGTTTGGGACCTCAATGTCCCACACACATCTGGCATTGTTCGGATAATTTCCAGGGTAGAAGGGGCTAGAAAATCTCCCTGATGGTTGTGACAGGAAGCCTCCACAGGAATAGTTTTCTGTAAGGACAACAAGATGCTGGTGACTGTACAGTCACCTGGGAAAATGTTTCACACAATCTCCAAGGAAGGGATGTAACAAAAAATGTCCCAGACTTGAACCATCCACCAAGGGGTCAGGGAAGACACCCTCCCCAGTGGCTGTGCTTAGGCAAGCTTTCTCCTAACCATTCCCACTAGCCCTCCACAGTGTCCTCATCACTGAGGGACAGGGAAGGGGACATTCAGGCATCTCTGCCACAGATTTGTCAGGGAGCTCAGAACTTACTGTTTGGGTGGATGATAGTGGAAGGATAAGCTGTGGACAGAGAAAACCAGGATTAGTTTTGGCTGTTGTTGTATCTTCAGTGCTGTTGTTGACTGCTGGCTCATCTGTGCCAGGTACGACGTCAGCCCTGGATTTACAGTGGGGGGCTGGCACAGAACTCTCACCGTATGGAGATGATGCATCATGAAATGTGGCTGAGACAGAGGAAAGCCCAGAGAAGGGAGCCAGAGGTTTGGCTCCTGACACAGACTTTATGGGGAGAGAGGGCAGGAAACAGGGCCTGGCAGCAGGAGGAAGGGATGCACCAGGCCCTGGAAATAGCACATACAGAGGGGCCCAATATGAGAGAACTATGAACTTCTGTGCAGATGGCAAGGAGGGCTCAGACCAAGGCACTGAGTCATGGAAGGCCCTGAGGCCACAAAGCCCTTGAAGGCTGAGGCTGGAACTAACCATTGGGCTGGGAATGGCACCCACCCTGGCTGTTTTGTGGAGAATGGTGGGAAAGGATGAACCTGAGGTTGCTGCTGCAGGAAGCCAGGAGTGAGAGGTGCTGAGGATGGCTATGGAGAGGCAGGAATCAAGGAGTGTGGAGTGTACTGAAAGGAGCTGACTGGAGCACACAAGGTGGGGCTGTTGCCCATTACACTACATACTCTATGATAATGCAGGCTCTATTTGGCCTCCATTGGACAGGATCTGATGTTGAGGAAGGGACAGGCAGGTCACAAGTGACAGGCCTCTCCTGGGGACTAACTGGAGATCTGAATCTTGGTCATCCAGATCACAAAGGGACCAAGAGGAGACAACCATCGTGGATCTACTGGGGTTAAGACATTGCAGGGGATGCAACCTGCCAGGGAAGATATGACAGGCAAACCCTTGGGAGAGTGACTGACATTCCCACAAAGTCTAGGAGACCTGGAGGCCCAGAAAGTAAAATGGAAATCAAAGATACTTACTTGTTGTTTGTGGGTAGTTTCCTAAAATTAGATTTAAAAAAAAAAAAAAAAAAAAAAAAAGCACATAGGTTACAAAAACTGGCTTGGAGGAGCGACCAGCATAGAGCAGGGACACACCCAGTGACTCATCATCTGACCCTCATGGTGGGGAGGAGAGCCTGAGTACAATATAAGGAGGGGAGAGAGGCTTGCTAGCTGCAGCTGCTGCTGCTCTTCCCTTTGCACGTGCTGTTTTCCACCACCATGAATAGCTGCCCTCTGCCCTGAGCCACTCTTTCTTGGAGCCAGCCGAGTATGGACTGAAACCTTTACTAACTGTGACTAAACAAACCTTTCTTTCCTAAATTCTGGATGTCAGGTATTTTGTCCCAGCAACAAGAGAAAAGTAACTCAGACAGCTATATAGCAGAAGATAATACAGGCATTGAAAACGAAGGACGTTTTGATGACACAAAAAAGTAGCCATACCACTTTTTCAGAGCAGTGGAAGACTTAAAACAAGCTCATATTATAAAATGCTATAAAAAAGCATGATTACTTGTTAATTAATCAATTAACAAAGAAATAAAACCCTTAAGAAAATGTTGTAGAGGGAGTTGATGCATCTACAAGGAACAGATGAAAGCATGAATGAGTTTCAGGGTTCAGATGTGCTGGAACAAGTCACTCAGGACAATAAGCAGGATAAACATTGAACCCGTTCCTCCTTGTCACTTGGAAACAATCCCTAGAGGCACAAGCAAGCTAAGCAGCAGATATAGACCTAGTCTCCAAAGCAGTGGCAGCGGGGGTCATTCGCATGCCCTTGGGTTAGGTCAAACCTACTTCTGTTATTGGCACAGTAGCTAAGGAGCCAGGGGCATCACACCCACCAAGCTCAGAGACATCACAGGTTTGCCACTGCAGGTGACAGAACACCTGCCTCTGAGACAGGATCAGGGTGAGAGGGTGCTAGGGTAGCAGCCCTACTTGAAGAAAACCAGCCAGTAAAATAGAGACCAATTTACTATCACCTGCACAGATGACTCCAGCATCCTCATGGTGTCCACAGTTGTGGGAGAGCCACCCACGGTGGCGACAGTTCCACAGGTAGGATTCATGACCTGAGCAAGCCACGTCATCCAGGACAATTGGTCCAGAACCTGAACCAAAATGGGCATTTCCCGGAGCAGATATGGCCCAGCCACAGCCCAGCTGCCTGCACACCACGTTGGCATCGTTGGTGTCCCAGCTGTCATCACACACGGTGCCCCAGGAACCTTGGTACAGGATCTCCACACGGCCCTGACAGCGGCCTCCTCCATTCACCAGCCTCAGGGCCAACCTGGAATCAGTTCCTAGAGAGGACACAAGTTTCACATTTGATGCTGTTTCTGTGAAGAACGTCAAAGCCATGCAGTGGCGATGAAGCCAAGACTGCTTCCCAGTGTCTGAGTCTCTCACGCAGGTGAAAGACCCAAGGAAGAGGAAAGTGGGCCTCCCGTCCCAGCCCAGGAGCAGTGTGGCCATGAATCCATGCATAGCGCAGAGGCCCTGATGGAGATCGGGCTGAGCCAGTCTCTCGAGTCTGGTATTTTCTCCTCTTGGTTACACAGGCTCTGCCCTACCTTCTGCTCACACAAGATCTCATGTCCAAAGTCACTGCCCGCAAGCTCATAGTTGGAGCCAAAGCAACAGAGAGTACCCCATGACAGAATCAAAATTAGTGGTAACGAAAGCCCCAGAAACACTCATCCATCTCTTTCCCATAGCACTGTCTGCACTTCCTCTGTGTCTGGAGACCTGCCGAGCTGCAGGCTGTTTCGGGACCGTTAGAGGGAAGGACACTCCTGCCAAGCCTGCCCCTCAGGTGGGCACCTGCACACATGTGCCCATGTACCCACACATGCACATACAGCATGCACACCAGCGAAGTAGAGGACAGAAACGGACATCCTAGTGTGAGGACAGAACAAGAGCAGGCGGGGGATGAGTCTCTGACAGGAGATGACCTGGGGTCTCTTGCAAAAGAAGACACCATCTAATTCTCCCACAGAAGAAGGTGGCAGCACAGTGCAGAATCCCTTGTGCAGACCCAGCTATGAAATCATAGAACTGTGAGCAAAACTCCTCTTTTTCACCCCTCAGAGCTGATGAGCTGCATATGCTCACCAGCAATCTATATTAATGTCCCATGACAGGTCCCCAGCCACTGTCACTGTGGGTCAACAGGACTGCATGGTTGTGAACATCTCATTGGAGTCAAGCATCAGACAGTGAAGTATTAGCACCAGCTACATGTCACCAAAAGCCTTTCCTCCCCTGAGGTCCACACTCTATGGAAAGGACCCTTGTAGTAGAGGGAGGAGAGAGTCTACAGTGCTAGGATAGAGTAGAAACAAGTGATACCACTGTCAAATGAACGAAATGCCACAATCAGGAAGCCCTGAAGACTTGGTCACTGCCTGAGGAGTCTTCTGAGAGAGGCAGGGTCCTTTTGGCAAGGAAGAGGGGCACAGTTCTTCTTCTTGGGGGAGCAGGGCTCAAATGCCCACCATCACTGCCATTCCTGTTCATTTCTATCCTGTCAACTTGCAGAAGAGGTAACTATTATGCCCTCCTGTAATATTACATTCAATGGAAAGGAGAAGGCCAAATCCAAGTGTACATTTGAAGATAAAAGTAGGACTTCCTAATTCACAAAGCAGCTGAGGTAAAGGTAGAAACTTCAAGGATTGCTATGCATGCTTTATGAAGGCCAGACGAACACAGACATGAGGTACTTCTGAAAATGTAGCAAACTGCCTGAACACCTGGTAGGCTTCTACCTAAATACAGCATATGTAGGAAAGGGCCTTCCTTTTTCCCCTTTGATCTCTGCATTCTGGGGGATGAACAAGGAGAAACAGAGTCCTGGCCTAACCCACAGCCACGCACAGTGCTTACCATGTGACACACCTGCTGGTTGTGCCAGCCTGGGCTGGACACCAAGCCCTAGGAGGAAATTGCTGGCAGAGGGTGGCACTGAGACTGGGACTGGTGATGTGAGCCTGCTCACGTGCCAGTGCTCTCGGTAAAGCTGTGGATAAAGGGCTCCAAGGGAAAGACTCAATCCTCCTTCCAGATCTGAGGTACCTAGAACGTCTCTGAGTGGGAAGCTGGGATAAGCAGAGCCAAAACTCAGGAAGGGCCACAGCAGGACCTGCGCTCTGAATACAGAGCTCCACTCTGACCCACATTGAGTCTCCCATGGCAACTGACTTAGAAAAGCCCTGGGGGATGGTGCCTTCCCCACCCCCAACCATAGGAATATTTCTCTCCCCTTCACCCAGAAATTGCCCACTTCAGGCCAGACAGACTCAGTGAAGGTTGGCCTTCTGTACCCCACATTTCTGGGTGTTGACCCAAGCTCCACCTGGGGACCATGTGAGTCCTGGGCCTGTGCCCTGCCAATACCAGTGGCCATCCACATTCTCCTGAACCCAAGATTTGCACAGTCGCTGGCACCATGTCACTACCCAGGGTTTCTTCAAGAAACTTAACTAGGAACAGGCACAAAATCAAACTGGAATAGGACCACAGAAGATGATGTCCTCATTTACTATAGAAATGCTCTCCAAGTCACAGGGATTTCATAAAGACAAAGATACATAATAACCAGTTCCAGCAGAATCATAAGAAAACCAGAACCCTCAGACACTAAAGAGAGGAGCATAATTCACCAGCTACTAAGGAAAACAAGTAGCTTGGGCAGATAGGTCAGATGAGCATATGACCCACACAATCCACTTTACAGTGTCCCTCCAAAGAATGCGAAAAAAAATAACCAAGAAAAAAACTACTTGACTGCTCTAGGCCACACTGCTTATGCCAGCCAAGACATGGAAACTTCTCAAATATCCATCCACAGGTAGACCGATAACTGGAGAGAGGCAACCACATACAGCGAATATTCTTTGGCAATAATAGGAAATGTTGCCCTCTCTCCTACATGCTAAGACATACGTGAGCCTGGAAACCATGTGAAATGAAATAGGCCAGAAAAAAATGACTGGCTCCACACATAATACACAGAGCAGGCAAAATTGAAGACACTCAAAGCAAATCAACTCTTGTAGGGAGGCAGGAGAAGAGAGGAAGGAGGCCTGGCAGGTGTTGGTTTGGGCCAAGGAAGTCCCCCTGGAAACAGAGCAGGGTGGCAGCTGTATAAGACTGGCTGTGTGCTTAATCCCAGGAACTGTGTATCTATAACTTATCAAATGGTAAATTGTACATGGTGCAATTTAAAATGGTAAGTTTGGGTGCTGGCATGGAGAGAAAAAACATTTTCTCAAGCTTTCACAAAGAGCAAATTGGTCAAGCAATGGCTGTGACTCATCCTCATGTCAGACACTGACAAAAGGTTTACAAAGGGCGGTACAGGGCTACAGGATAAACCCTGAGAGTACTTGGCTGACCTTATCAGATACAAAAATTACATTTCTTGTTATATAGGTCTTGCTATATCTTGGTCTTAACCATCCAGCAGAAAAGTATAAAAATGAGGTATATAAAGTAAATCCATATTAATACGATGAGCTGTAAAAGGCTCAAGTCAGTAACTTCTGAGGATAACCCACTAATATTATAGACTGCTAGATTGTGTTAGATTGTTTAGTTGAATTCAAATACCTATAGTATTTAGATGCCAATAGAATATTCACCTCTGATAGGACAAAAAAAAGGATACAAAGGAAAGATCATTTTGTATTTATATATACAAAACAGGATAAATTTACAGCTACTTTCACTTAATTCAATGAGAAGAAAGAGGTGTACTAACAGTGTTTGGACAGAATATCCTGTCTGCTTCTTGTACTATGGATAACCACTAAGAAGATAACAATGTACAGTGTATTGACTATCAAAACTGTCCTATTAATCAGCGTGAAACTGTCTCATTCATATTTATTTCTCAACAACAACAAAAAAAAGTTTGGGTGCTGGGACTGTTGTTCCAGAGTAAAGCATTTGCCCAGCATGCACAAAACCCTGGCTTCACTCCCCAGCCTTGCCATCACAGACAAACACAATGGAGGAATCCCATAATAATAAAATAGTGAGAGTAAGTAACAAAATAATGAAAAGGAAATAATATTAAAGGAAGAATCTAAAAGATATATGCATATTAAAAATCATGTCCTTTTCTATTAAAACACAAATATTCCTTCCCAACAAACAAACAGGACAAATACTATAACCTATGAGGTTCGAGAAAGGCCTGCAGCCCACAAGCTCCCTTCTTGACTACAAAATGTAGAAGTGGATGGGAAACCTTGGCCAGACCATCCGGGCCTACAGAGATCGCTCTGAAGAAGGCACCTGTTACTAAGCCAGTTAATTAGAGGCTGCCCCACCTCCAGGATTTATAGCCAGAGACAGAGGAACAGACTGTTCTAGTGGGAGAGGAGACGGGTCTGATAACTGTTTTCTTTCCTAATGTCCAAAAAGCAAGCCTATAGTGAAGCCCACGTGCACAGCAGGCATAAAAAGTCCAAGAGAACAGGTAGTCTTAGAACTTCTGGATCCCACTGCATCTGAAGCTCCAGATGCATCAATGAAGGCTTACAAGTGTGAGTCAACAGCTTCCTAACTAGGGAAGAGCTTGAGTCAGGTTTGTGTCACTTGCAAACCAAGGGCTTCTTGACTCTCAGATCTCTTTTACAATACAGTGCAGCCAGTAGGTGAGTGAAATCCTTCATGATTCATGAGGGGACAAGCAGTCACAGACTTCAAGCAAGGAGAAGGAATGTTCCATAGGCCCATTGATTACACCACTGAATTCTGAGAGCAGGGCTTACTTCTCAAATTCTTACCATTATTAGGAGCTGTTGTATCCCACCAGCCTGGAGAGAAACATAAAGCCAAATTAGAAGAAAAGTTGGAGGGAAGCTGTTTGATCAAACTTGGGTCTAGGGGCCTGTGGCTGGGATGAGGGACAGAGGAGTCAGAAAATCCCTGTGACACAGGAAAATCCACACAGAGGTACACAGAAGGATGAATGTGTTGTGGGCTCACTCTGACCCCCCTTTGACCTTAAGGAGGGTAAGTATTATTCCCTCTTGTTGCTTCCAAATGGGGGCATAGAGGGAAGAAAAGGAATAGGTTGACCAGGGTTGAAGAGGCAGGAGGACTAACCTGGCAAGGGCGACGGCTGACCTGGCAAGGGCGACGACTGACCTGGCAAGGGTGACGACTGACCTGGCAAGGGCGACGACTGACCTGGCAAGGGTGTGGGATACTGCACAACATCTGTGTTAAAGAAAAGGCAGATCAGATGCAGTGCATGGAAAGTGGCAAAAACAGATACAGGAGGAAGACACTTGTCAGCTTAAGCAGGATCCTTGCGTGATTGGCCTTCAATGGGGAGCTGCTGATCCACTGTCTCTAAGACACGCTGTCTGGGAGGGTCCCAGGCAAACCCTGTCCTCTACTCCTGGTGTCAAGTTAAGAAGCTATGTCGGGAAACTGGTGTCTAGACATGGTGACAAAGTTGAAACAAATTTCTCTTTCAACTTGCTTTCCCCACACACACACACACACACACACACACTATTCCATTGATTCAGATAAAATGAAAGCTAACCTTGAGGCAAATTCCTGCACAGGACACTCCAGGTATTATAGGGTTGCCCATCAAACATGGTACCTCTTTCGCAGATAGTCACTGGGGCCACTTGGAAGGGCAGTGGTTAAAAACATAGCCCCCACCTGCCCACACCTTGAACCAGCCATGCTCTTAGAAGCATCTGTTTTCTGGCCCCAATGGCCTCCTCATAGAGACTCCTCCATCAGAGTTTCAGCTCATGTCTACCCTCCCTCAGCAGACAATTTTAATGAAGACTCTATTCTGTTAAAGAGTCCCTCCCTCCCCCTTTGTGTGTATCTCACTCACTTATACCCAGGGCCCATAGGATAGGAAATCCAGAGATCAGGATTTCCCTTGGGTCGCTGTCTCCACTGAATCAGCAAGGGATTGAAAGCTTGATTGCATCACATTCCCTGTCCTCACTGTCCAAATCAACTACTGTCACCATTCCAAAGACTCAAGTTGATTCTTATGGAATAACTAAGAAGAAAAGAGGAAACTGGCAGACAGCTAAGGACAACTAACAAAACATGTTTTCAAGAACAGGCCCAGAGACAGTGACTCACGTGAGCAGATGACTCCAGCATCCTCATGGTGCCCACAGTTGTGAGAGAGCCACCCACGGTGGCGACAGTTCCACAGGTAGGATTCATGACCTGAGCAGGCCACGTCATCCAGGACAATCGGTCCGGAACCTGAACCAAAACGGGCACTTCCCGGAGCAGATAC